ATTATGCGGAGAAAACATAACTGATTATGATATGCTGGAAAAAACGTTGTCCACGTTCCACGCTTCAAATGTACTATTGCAGCAACAATACAGAGCAAAAGGCTTTGTAAAATATTCTGAGTTGATTTCTTGTTTGCTGTTGGCTGAACAAAATAACGAGTTGTTAATGAAAAATCATGAATCTAGACCCACGGGGTCTACTGTGGTCCCTGAAATAAATGATGTGATATCGAAACAGGGAACCGGAACTGAAAACAGCCAAACATATATGCGTGGATCTACCTCGGGACGTGGCCGGGGTCGTGGACGTGGCCGTGGCCGTGGATATGGCCCAGATCGCCGATTTGACCAAGGCTTCAAATTTCACCAAGGGTATAACTCGGGCCGTGGATATAATCGTGGGCGAGGCCGTAATTATGCCCAAAATTATGAAAGGGGGAGAAATTTCCAGCCAAAATTTGAACAAAATAATGTGACGGAAAATAATAATGAAAATGCATGTTATCGATGTGGAAAGACGGGGCATTGGGCACGAAACTGTCGTGCTCCGAAACACGTGGTTGATAAATATAATGATTCCCAGAAATCAAAAGATAAAAATGTAGAAACTAATTTTATAATTGGGGAATCCTCTGCAAATGATACAACACGTGTAGATGATGACTATGGTATCGAAGACATGTTGAACCTAGATTTTGCTGATGCAGTATTTGAAGACAGAGCTGGAAATGATCAAGAGAATAACTGATGATCATGTTGTTGTTTTTATTACTTTCTAAGTTTTGTTGTATTTGTGTGTTTTTATCTGTATTTCGACTTTAATCAATAATAAATGTTGTTTTTCTTTTAGATCATGGATCGGTCTCAAATTCAAAATGGAGATATATGTCTTGCAGATTGTGCCACAACTCATACTATACTCAAGGACAAAAAATATTTTGTCAACTTGAAATTAAATAAAGCAAAAGTAAACACAATATCTGGAAATGCAAAGATAATTGAGGGTTCTGGAAAAGCCATATTTTTTATGGCGGGAGGTACAAAATTTTCATTGAATGATGCATTATTCTCCCCGAAATCAACAAGAAACTTGTTGAGTTTTAAAGATATCCGAATGAACGGATACCATGTTGAAACAATGAATGAAGGGGGAGTTGAATATCTTTGCATTACTTCAAATGTTGCGGGAAATAAATGTGTTTTGGAGAAATTGCCAGCTTTATCATCGGGCTTATATTACACCCGCATTTATATTATTGAGACTTATGCTGCAACAAAGTCACAGGCGAATGAAATGTTTAAACTTTGGCATGATAGACTTGGTCATCCTGGCTCGATAATGATGCGAAGAATTATTGAAAATTCTAGTGGACATCCGTTAAAAAATCAGAGGATATTGCAAACACATGAATTGACATGTGCCTCATGTTCTCAAGGGAAATTGATAATAAGACCATCACATACTAAAGTCGGGTATGAATCACCATTATTTTTAGAAAGGATTCATGGTGATATATGTGGACCTATTCATCCACCTTGTGGTCCATTCAGATATTTTATGGTGTTAATTGATGCTTCTAGTAGATGGTCTCACGTGAGCTTGTTATCCACTAGAAATGTGGCATTTGCTAAATTGCTTGCCCAACTTATCAAATTAAGGGCTCAATTCCCAGATTATATTATAAAAAGGGTCAGACTGGACAATGCTGGAGAATTTACATCTCAAGCATTTAATGATTATTGTATGGCAGTGGGAATTGATGTTGAACATCCTGTAGCACATGTTCACACTCAAAATGGTCTAGCAGAATCATTGATTAAACGACTGCAGCTTATAGCCAGACCATTGATAATGAGGACAAAACTGCCCACTTCTGTATGGGGACATGCTATTCTGCATGCAGATAATCTAATTCGCATAAGACCAAGTGCACACCATACATACTCGCCATTACAGTTGGCATCTGGTCGAGAACCAAATATTGCAAATATAAGAATTTTTGGTTGTGCAGTGTATGTACCAATTGCTCCGCCCCAACGTACAAAAATGGGGCCTCAAAGAAGGTTGGGAATATATGTTGGATACGAATCTCCATCAATAATAAAATATCTTGAGCCAAAAACAGGTGATGTTTTTACAGCTCGATTTGATGATTGTCATTTTAATGAAGAATTGTTTCCCCCTTTAGGTGAGAATGAAAGGTCAATTGAGAAAAATATTGAATGGAGAACATTATCACTGTCATATATTGATCCTCCCACCAAACAAAGAGAGCAAGAAGTTCAAAAGATTATACATCTGCAGAATATTGCAAATCAATTGCCAGATGCATTTACTGATACAAAAAGGGTGACAAAATCACATGTTGCAGCTATAAATGCCCCTGCTCGAATTGAGATTACAAAAGAAATGGCAAATGACAATGTGCCAAATGAATTAAAGGCACGCTTGAAACGAGGAAGACCAGTGGGGTCTAAAGATAAGAATCCTCGAAAGAAAAGAGAAATTCAAGATTCGAATTTCAAGAAGAATCAAGATGATGGAAAAATTTCGGAACGAAATGAAAATATTGAAATATCCATCAATTATGTAAATAATGGGAAACTTTGGAAACATGATGGGATCATTGATGATGCGTTCGCATATATGGTATCACAAGAAATTGACAAAGAAGCTGAGGATCCTGAACCAAAATCTATGATTGAATGTCAGAAAAGACATGATTGGGACAAGTGGAAATGTGTTATTCAAGCCGAGTTAAATTCGCTTAATAAACGAAAGGTTTTTGGACCTATAACCATTATACCCAAAGACATAAAACCTATTGGGTACAGATGGGTTTTTGTCAGAAAAAGAAATGAGAAAAATGAAGTCACAAGATATAAAGCTCGCCTTGTAGCACAGGGATTTTCCCAGAGGCCTGAGATTGATTATGATGAAACATATTCCCCTGTTATGGATGCAATTACTTTCAGATACTTGATTAGTTTGGCCATCCATGAAAATCTTGAGATGCGGTCTTATGGACGTTGTGACTGCTTACTTATATGGGTCGCTAGACACTGACATTTATATGAAAATTCCAGAAGGAATTAGAATGTCCGAAGCACTAAAGTCCAAACCTAAAGAGTTATGTGCGATAAAGCTGCAAAGATCATTGTATGGCTTGAAACAATCCGGGCGTATGTGGTACAATTGTTTGAGTGAACAATTGCTTAAACAGGGATACATAAATAATCAAATATGCCCGTGTGTCTTTATAAAAAGATCACAAGATGGAGTTGTGATAATTGCTGTCTATGTCGATGATCTTAATATTATTGGGACTACAAATGAAATTAAAGAAGCAGTCACTTTACTAAAAGGCGAGTTTGAAATGAAAGACCTCGGGCATACCAAATATTGTCTCGGCTTGCAAATAGAATGGGTCCAAAATGGGATATTTGTCCATCAATCTAATTACACTCAAAGAATACTGAAACGATTCAATATGGACAAGGCTAATCCACTTAGTGCCCCAATGGTCAATCGAACATTAGATGTCGAAAAGGATCCATTTCGACCTTGTGATGAAGATGAAGAGATACTTGGTCCTGAAATACCATATATGAGTGCCATAGGAGCTCTTATGTATCTTGCTAATTGTACCAGACCAGATATATCTTTCGCTACCAATTTATTAGCAAGATATAACTCGGCACCTACGAGGAGACATTGGAATGGAATTAAGCATATATTCCGTTATCTCCAAGGGACAATCGATTTGGGACTGTTTTATTCTAACAATAGAAAACATGAAATAATCGGTTTTGCAGATGCAGGATATCTCTCAGATCCCCATAAAGCAAGATCTCAAACTGGATACGTCTTTACAGTTGGCGGAACTGCATTTTCTTGGCGTTCCCAGAAGCAAACATTAGTTGCGACGTCTTCAAACCATGCCGAGGTCATTGCATTACATGAAGCAACTAGAGAATGCATCTGGCTCAGAAACATGACTCAACACATTCAACAAGCCAGTGGACTACCAAATAATAATGACCCGACGGTGATATTCGAAGACAATGCAGCATGTGTCGCTCAAACCAAAGAAGGATACATCAAGAGTGACATAACTAAACATATCCCGCCAAAGTTATTCTTATATGCGCAAGAGCTTGAAAGAAACAAACAAATCACAGTTCAATACATTCGATCAAGCGATAATGCAGCAGATTTGTTTACGAAGGCACTTCCGACAATAATATTTCGAAAGCACGTGCACAATATTGGAATGAGACATCTTCGGGATTTGCATGGATGATAATTCGAGGGGGAGTATGTGCGGCTGTACTCTTTTTTCCTTCGGTTTTTTCCCACAGGGTTTTTCCAGATAAGGTTTTTAACGAGGCAGCATAAACGCACATTTAATAGTGGTAATTCCAAGGGGGAGTGTTGTGTATGTGGTGAAATTACCACTAATCTTATCATTACATTAATTTATTTATGATGTGCATAGAAGTGTGTGCCAATGTGCCTATAAAAGGGGCCACACACTTTGTAAAAGTTGTACTTGAAAAACGTAAGAAAAAGAGAAAGAAGAATAGCAGCTTATAATTTTGTTCCGGTTTTTATACATTGTGTTCTTTATATTGCTCGCATTTTATAACACTACATATTTAATTTTCACTGAATACTTGTATATATCAAACCGACAAAAGCCCGGGAATAATTCAAAATATACCCGCAAGCCCAACCCGAATCTGTACTCGGCCCGAATCTGGAAAGTTCCACTTCCTTGTAGGCTGTATCACACCTGTGGATTTCTAGAGCCATCTCCTCTGTGTTGCTCTCTTTTTGAACGCCGCTAAAACCTTTCAAATCTCCAGACTCGCTATCCAGAAACTCTGCAATCAAAGATTCTCATCAAATTGTACAATCGAACGCCAGAAGCATCTGAGCAGAAGAACACTGAGATTCTTAGCTGAAGTATAATAATAGGACGCGGGAGCAAGGAGAGATGGGTGTGGATTACTACAAGTTGTTGCAGGTGGACAAAAATGCCAACGACGACGACTTGAAGAAAGCTTACAGGAAGCTGGCCATGAAATGGCATCCTGATAAGAACCCTAACAACAAGAAGGAAGCCGAGGCGATGTTTAAACAGATTTCCGAAGCTTACGAGGTAATATGCTGCGATTTGTCGGGGGGTTTTTGGAATTTGATTTTCTTGTTTTGTGCCTTTTGGTATGTGGGCTCGTCCGTATTGATATTGATTATCAGTTGCAGAGCTGTTTCTTCCTCTTCTTTTAGAGAAGTTAGTGATTGTTTATGGATTTTTTTCTCTGTTTTGATGTTCAATTGATCTGAAGAAATCACTGTAACTCGAACTTAAGTTACTTATTTGTTTGGGAGTTGATTCATCCATAGATAAGCCAATCTCAGATTCACAAAAATTAATGGGCATTCATCTGCTGTTTTGTATTATGTGCTGGAAAAAAACCGGCCCGAGTTGATGTATTTTGGGTTTGTTTTCATACAATCATGTTCTGATTTAGGAATAAGAATCTGCTGATCAGGGATTGATAGTCCGTGTTTTTAAACATTTTTACAGGTTTTAAGTGATGCACAAAAACGGGCAGTTTACGATCAGTATGGTGAAGAAGGCCTTAAAGGCCAAGGCATGCCTCCCCCTGATGCCGGTGGGCCCGGTGGTGCAACATTCTTCCAAACAGGCGATGGGCCGAACGTATACAGATTCAACCCTAGAAATGCGAACGACATTTTTGCTGAGTTCTTTGGCTTTTCGAGCCCGTTTGGAGGGATGGGCAGTGGTGGTGGAATGAGGGGAGGTTCGAGGTTTTCCGGTGGATCAATGTTCGGTGGTGATGATATCTTTAGTTCTTTTGGGGAGGCGAGGACTATGAGCCCGGGTCCTAGAAAGGCGCCACCAATCGAGCAGAAGTTGCCTTGCAGCTTGGAGGAGCTATACAAGGGAGCTACAAAGAGGATGAAAATTTCTAGAGAGATATATGATGCCAGTGGGTATGTTAAGTTCTCCTGCTATGTTTATTAGTTACTGGTGATATATCATGCAGTTCTTGTGACGTTCATCTTTTTGTCACTATTTGATCGGTTTATTGAATGCGATAGTTTTTTGGTTACAAAGAGGAAGAAAATGACTAGAGAGATGTCTGATGCCAGTGGGTATGTGTTACTATATTCCTTGTTACATTTGCTAGTTATTTTTCCAGTTCCATCAATAGTTTGCTTGCTAACTTCTAATGCCTGAATGGCGTATAGCTTGTCATTTGTCTCAAGCTAGTAACAGTTTTCTGATTTGTTAGCCGTGAAAATTTTTGTGTGCATGTGTTTTTCCTGAGGGGATAGTTGGCTTTGGGATTTAACTATTTGTGATCTGTCCAAAGAACAATGAATGTATTTTTTGGATGTGAGGGCATTTGACTGAGTTTTGTTATGTTCAAGTTTTAGCTCGTGACTTGAAATGGCTAAAATCACATTTACTGTTTAGTGATAATTTCTCTCAACAATGAGTATTTCCATCTGTGCAGGAAGACCTTACCAGTTCAAGAAATCCTGACCATCGACATAAAACCCGGATGGAAAAAGGGGACAAAGATCACATTCCCCGAGAAAGGAAACGAGCAGCCGAACATAATCCCTTCCGACTTAGTGTTCATTATCGATGAGAAGCCACACAGCGTGTTCACTCGTGACGGGAATGACCTTATCGTCACCCAGAAAATATCACTTGCCGAGGCTCTAACGGGCTACACAGTCCACCTCAAGACCCTCGACGATAGAAACTTGACCATACCTATAAATACCGTGATCAATCCAAACTATGAAGAGGTCGTGCGTGGAGAAGGTATGCCGATTCCTAAGGAACCCACTAAAAGGGGTAACTTGAGGATCAAGTTCAACATTAAGTTCCCGACTAGACTGACGGCTGAACAGAAGTCTGGGATTAAAAAGTTGCTTTCTCCATGAGTTTTGAGAAAGTTATTTCTGTGGTTTGTTCTATAGATGTTATGTTGGTGTCTATTTTGTTGTGTTGGTTTTGTGGTTTGATCATGGACCTTGAATTGTTTGTAGCTATGTAGTTATAGAAAATAAAGATAAAAAGGGAGTTGGTTTTCTGAGTTGCCTGTAATCAGAAAGCACAATGGACATTGTTATATTTTGGACTACAGATCAGAAAAACTATAATAATTAGTAGATTATTATACACACACGGTAATGTATATTTATCAATGCATATTATTTTAAATATTTCATATTTATTTTTTTTTTATTTTATTTTTTGTGGTAGTGACACAAGTACTGTGTAGCAATGGTTGAATTTGAGAATTACTTTGTAAAACAAGATATATCTGCAGCCAAATGATGTTTGAATTTTTCCCAACTCAGTTGCAGACTAAATCAATGGCAATCATCACATTCCTGAATCTACTACCCACAACACGAGTGTTACAATCAGTTCTTCTGTTTCAATATAATTCTACATCAGCTATAATTCCAAGGCCACAACTCAAAAAAAA